GAAAAATGCGATATCTTTGTGAAAAATCCCCGATCCCGACCCCCAGCTCGAGTCTGAATCTCTGACTGTCCAGCGCCTTGGGACGTCCTCCCTATGTGAAAGGCACTATACAAGTGTCATTTTGTTGTTGTTATTGGAAGTGCTCTTTGAACTTTTCAGTGCAATTTACAATATGATGGTCTGATGGCAATATATTCCATTCATAGAAAATGAAAATTATGTTACAGTTGCAGCGTGAAATAATTGCTGTAATGAGGCCATACAATCCCCGACCACATATTGTTAATATCTTCTCACAGGGTACACATGCACATCCATGTGTTCAAACACATGCATGAATACTATTAGAAATGAATTGGATTAGGTCTCAACAGGCTGATTAAATGACAAACATGCAGGTGTACAACTGGCCACCTTTGATGTCACATCCACCTCTTTTCCATTCTCACCCCCAACCCCCCATACACACACACCAACACACATGATGTTGATAATTCACCCTGTCTTGTGGACGCCAGTAAGTATTATGGTTCCTCCCTTGGGTCAGTCTTGCCATAGCAACTCATTCCAATCCTGCTTTATCCAGAACAACATTCCACCAGTGTCAGAATGCAATTTTACAGACCAGCAATTTCTCAATCAACATGAATTAACACAAATGGCCAGAGTTGGTAATAATTTCACCCAAATCCAGGGTTGAGCAGCATATGGAATCAGTATCTGAAGTTACTTTTGAGGTTAGAATGTAGAAAGCTTGACCGTAACTTCATCTTCATCTCATTGTTGAAGGTCTTTTGGACTGAAACTGGTTTGTCACTTCTCAGCTTATAATATTGCAAGTCTTGATTTGCAGCCTGTTATAAACTTGCATTAAATGACCCAAATGGTTGTATTGTAGTCCCTCTAAATAAATCTCCTACCATATGAATTTCCTTAGCTGCTCATTAAACATTTATTTTATTATCCACTTACATTGAAGTTATGCCATGTTGATGAATCAAAGCAATCTCACATTTTTGAACACAATTGTGTAACTTCTTGGTGAAAGTATTTGCCCTTCAGTGAAGGACATGATCCTTGTTTTTTTTCCCTCTTTGTTACTGGATCCTGCACCTCTGCAACAGAAAGGCCAGACAGGCTTTCTCCGCCAATGTCCTTCCTGGCTGGCTGCCAAGAGGTGCCTGATGACAACCCATCAATGATCTCTCATTCACTTCTGACTCCTCAGGTTGGAAACTGATGAGTGTGTTTCCTCACACTTTGTGCCAGTGCATATAAACCACTCCAGTGTGTTGTTTTTGCCAGTTACGGCCATGATTACAGAGTCATTTGGAAAGTGGTTACTTTATGTGAAACACACAGTTATATAAGAGAAATGTTGTCAGGCTTTAACACTCGCAACACGAGCCAATGGCTTTAAAATATGTAACTTTAGGATCATTTTTTTCCTGAAACTGTAGATTTCTAAATTCTTATCTCCATACATCTTGTGTCAGAGAAGGGTGAGATTTTTCATCAGTGTTGAGATGGAGCACCTTTCTTTGTTGGACATAAGTGCACACTGTTTAGCTGTGACCATCCATCATACCATAAACCCAATATCAGGTGATTCTCATTACTGCAGCACTGTGATATTTCCATGTTTAAACCAGTCAGTTATCTCGCTCACCTCAGAGTGAGATTGCTGACTCTGTGCTAATTTGAGCCAAATTGTGGGCATTTTTGTGGTAGAACTGGATTGAGGCACATCCAAATATATTTAATGTAAAAACCTTTACACCTACAACAACGCAGGGCGGTCCAACCTGTTGTGTGTCGAGGGCTGAATGCCACATTTGAGAAAAGTCCCCGGACCGCATAAGCAATATTTTTGTTTTTGCCTTCCAGAAACATAAACGATTCATACAGAAATCCTGTATTTTAAATTGTGTGACTGTATTGCTTAATAATGATGATCTCTGGAAATATATGCATCAATTTTTTTTATATATTAAAGTCAAAACACAAGATATCAACTCAGCATATGGAGGCCCCTACAGAGAATGCTCAATAAAAGCAAAACAGATTCATGCATAATTGCAAAACTAACTCTGAACTTCTTCAACTCAGATATGACTTGCAAGCAAACAAGGCATTGAGGCTTCCATTACTTTCAATGAACAAGTAATCCACTTCCCGATTACACTGAAATCTTCTATTTTCCATATCTACTTTGAGTTTCCGACTGAGAATCATAGTTTTGTAGATATAGAATTGCAAAATACTCTTGCTGCTGCTCGCTGTGTCTGATCACGTGGCTCGAGGCAGCGCAAGACATGACAGGGAGGGGTGGGGCTGGATAGCTCCTGCTCTGCCCTTTTTCTTGTCACTTTCTGCCACATGGAGAGTGACCAGAAAAGAGGTGCAGCCAGGAGGTAAAGCAGTGAAGTTGGAAATGGTTTGCAGGCTGGACAAAATAATTTGCCGGCCCTGTTATGGCCCGCGGGCCCCCTGTAGGACCATGCTGACTCAACACATTTAAGAGGAAACTTGATGCATACCAGAGGGAGAAGTGACTTAAGGTATTTTGGAGGGACAAAGACTCAGATAAGCCTAATGAGAATTTCATGCCGCATCATTCTGTGTAAAAGCGGCAATAACACAAATCTGATGGGATCAGATGCCACTTCTGAATTGAAAATTCATATCTTTCCATAACTACTCCTGAACCACTCTTTCCCCTGACTTGAGTAAAGGTGAAAGAAATGTCTTATTTTCAGCATACAGCAGTAATGAATTGTTGTGCACACAGCGAGAGCAACATTTATTACTTAAGTACAGGGAATCCACTGAGTTTTAGGAACAAAATCCCTGACTAGTATGTCCTACCAAATAGTAGAAAAGTTAACTGGAACCAATATCTATTAATTAAATTGAGGGAAAGAACTGTATACGGCCTATCTACCTTTTTTGTCCTACCTAACTAAATAATTCTTCAAAAGCTGGGCTTGTGTTTTCAGTGAATCATTCCTGTGTACTATTGGTTTCATTTTCTGATTTGGTATAAATGTATTTTTAAGCTTGAAAATGATGAGTGAAAGGCTGTCATTTATTTTGTTTGGCAATAATGAAAATATATTTCTCTAGTATTTGAGTCGGACCAGATCGGAATAAGTTTCCGAAGCTGGTGAGTTTCCAAGCTCCTTTTTCAAACTAAAACCCACCAATGTGATATTTTCTTAGTTTAATTGACCAAATCAACTCTTTTGACTATTTTTAAAAAAATTACAATGGATTGCTGCAAATTTGCTTGCTGGATCGATCAATAATAATAATAATAATAATCCTTGCATTTGATATAGCGCTTTTCACGTCGGGAGGACGTCCCAAAGCGCTTCACAGAACACACTGTAAAGTGAATTGACTGTATATTTGTGGGCGAACGCGGCAGCCAATTGCGCACAGCAATGTCCCACAAACAGTCGTAGATTGAAAATGACCAATTTATTGTTGTTTTGGTTTTTGGAGGGATTATTATTAGGCTCTGTGTGGAGTAAGGAAACTTGCCCAAGGTTTCGCCCTGACCTGCCTGGAATTGAACTCAGGTCTCTCGCTTGCAAAGCGAGTGCTCTAACCACTGAGCTACAGGACTCCACTGTAGTCCTGTAGCTACAGATCAAGAAACTGAACAAGAAGAATTTACAAAGTCCAGGTTTATGGAATCTTTTAATTGAGACTGATCTGTTTGAAATCTTTTACCTTGAATTCTGAATTTATTGTACATTTTAATTTCTGCATGTTTTCTTAATAGCTTGTTGTGATAAATTGAATTAATTTCCACAAGTGACTATTTTATTGACTGGGTAAATAAAATCATTCAAAAGCAAATTTGGATGGGCACCGCAATAGTAAAAGCTTTCAGGGATATGAAGAGGTGAAAGGAATGCTTGCGAAGGAATGTCTTATTTTCAGCATATGGCAGTAAGGAATTGTCGTGCACACAGCGAGAGCAACATTTATTATTTAAGTTCAGGGAATAGTATAAGAATAGTATAGGATCAAGCGAGGGAACTTGAAAGTGAAATTAATTTTCTTAAGAAATGAATTTCGAGAAACTGGTACCAGTGGCATAGATATGATAGGTCAAAATCCCCTTCTGTGCACAAGTTTTCTCTGAATTTAACTTATTCAAATGGCTACGGTGCCTTCAGATGGTGTTCTTGAATTTGAGTATAATAATAATCCTTGCATTTGATATAGTGCCTTATGTCTTCGAGATGTCTCAGGGCACTTCACAGAATATACTGTAAAGTGAATTGACTGTATATTTTGTGGGCGAAACAAATCTGATTCTTCCTGTTTTATTGAATTTGGGCATGAGGAAGAATTGCTCTTTTACACAGTTACATAGAGCAATACAGCACAGAAACAGGCCGTTCAGCCCAACTTGTCATGCTGGTGTTTATGCTCCTCACAAACTCACTTTTCTCCTCTCCTATATCCATCCCTCCACTCCCTTCTCTCATGTATACATCAGGTTTTCCCTTAAATACATTATCTTGTTTGCTTCACCCCTTTCAACAGTGATTTCCACACTCTAACCACCCTCTCTACATGTAGAAGATCCTCCTGAACTACTGGCTCGCATGTTTATGTTGTCTGGTTATGGACTTGGCAACAAATGGAAGCATGGAACCCTATACCAGCATCCACCCTATGAAATCCTTTCAGAATCTTGAACCTCTTTCAAGTCGTATCTCAAGTGTCTCAACTCTGGAGAGAAAAGCTGCAACTTTTCTTTAATCTTTCTTGATAGCTGTTTTCACTCATGCATGGTAATGTTCTTGTAAGTCTGTGCTATCCACTCTTTAATGCTGTAATATCTTTACTATCTATTAATTGTACTGATGTTTAGACTGCACTGATGTTCAGAACCATTCTTTTCTTTCCAAATCTACTTAATTCAGGGTATATGAAATGCTATAGATGATTAATTGCTGTTCTCTTTTTTTCATTTACAGTTGATGCAAGCACAGCACTGCCTCCTCCAGTCCAGTCCAGCACACTAATGGATCTCCGGCTGGATCAACAGTTCACAGTGCCACCTGCGGACCCCAATGTTCGAGAACAGCAACTGCAGCAGGAACTGATAGCTCTGAAACAGAAACAACAAATCCAGCGTCAGCTGCTTATAGCAGAGTTTCAAAGGCAACATGAGCAGCTCTCCCGGCAACATGAAGCCCAACTGCAAGAGCACATCAAGGTACGGGAACACAATGTAAGCTGGAACATTAGTCTATCAAAATTTTAAACTCTCTAAACTCAAGTGCTAGCCAAGCTGAGATCATGTACCTCATAAATCATCAGAATTGTCTGACCTTTTATTTCTTAGTGAGATATGTATGTGTGTGTATTCATCTGGCTCAGTTGGTTCACTCTTGTCTCTGAAGCAAAAGGTTGTGGATTTAAGCCCCATGTAGGGACTCAGAATCTTTATAGTATTCTGACGCTTTGTGGGTGTGTTTCGTTGTCAGAAGTTCTGTCCTTCTTATGAGACATAAAACTAAGGTCCCATCTGCCTGTCCACTTGATGTTCAAAATCCCATGGCACGATTCGAAAAGAGAAAGGAGTTTCTCCTGGTGTCCTGGCCAACAATCCCCAAATAAAATTAGCCACTTCATGGCTGTTTGTGGGACATTGCTGTGTGCAAATTGGTGCCTCATTTGCTCACAAAATACTGCACCTAACACAATATCTGGTGAAGCAGTTTGAAGCGTTTCGACAATGTGATAAGATATTATGTTAATTACAAAGATTATTATTATGATGGTGGAGGCCTGTTTAATTTAATAATGAATAAAATATATTCTCACTTTCATGTTTCCTTGTGGTAGAACAATACCATTGATAGGGTGTGGTATTGTTGTTGGAAAAGCAACCCAAAGATTATGGCTTTGAATCCCAAGTTCTTGAAATTGAATTGGAACAATTGTTAATTTGAGTTAGGACCAGAAGAATTGATGAATTGTTGTAACAGCTTAACTGGTTCACTGATGTCATTTTGCTACCGTTGCCCGGTCTGGCCGACATTTGACTCCTATTCCACACAACATAGTTGCCCTCTGAAATGTTCAACTGTTTACTCACTTTAGTTTTAAGAAATGTTACATAATCTTCTACAAGTCCAGATTTTGAGCCAGGTTGGTCTGTAGTATTCCAGAGCATTTCTGCTATCCCCAGGGCTTAGCTCTGGCCAAACTGTGCCTAATATTCTCTGGAAATAGCAAGGTAAGTCCCTCCAGGGAGAGAATATGTATTCCATAGATGGGAATTTCCATGTGTAGATGGCATGCATGGAACTCTTGTCTGGTTTGGATACTCTTAAGCAATATGATGGGTTTCTGCATGTGTTCCTAGCTGACCCCCAAAATCACGGACTGCAGCAGTTTAAAAAGCAGGCTCACCTTCTCGAGGCAACCGGGGATGGGCAAAAAATGCTGGCTCTGCCTGAATTTACTCCAAAGTCATCCTGGAGGCCAAAACCAACCCAAAGGATCTGTTCTTCACAATCCATCACCTCCTCAGTGCACCCCATCAAGCTCCCTCTATCTGCACATCAAACGCCAAGTGTGAAAAGGTCCTAGACTTCTCCGTCTCAAAGATTGAAAAGATTTGCTTGGCTGCATTGTCCTCCCAATCCCCCCCATTCCATGTCCCTTTCCACACCACCCAGACCATCCACACTGCCTTCTCCCTCTGCCATGGTTCCTGCCACCCACCTCCTTACACCATTTGCCACCATTTCTCCCTCCTCCCTTTCAACCACAATCACCTGCATGAAGTTCACCACCTGCTGCCTCGACCCCCTACCTGTGCAGCTGCTGGTCGCTCAACTGCCCCTCCTCTCCCCCCTGCAGGTTGACATGGTCAACCAGTCTCTCTTCTTAGGTTCTGTTCCACTCCCCCTTAAAACCGCTGTTATCATACCCCTCCTCAAAAAACCCACTCTCGATCCCTCTTACCTCTCATACTACCGTCCCATTTCCAACATACCCTTCCTTGCCAAAGTCCTGGAACACATTGCTGCAGGTCAATTTTGGTCACACCTCTCCCTCCACTCCCTCCTCAAGCCCCTGCAGTCTGGCTTTCGCCCTGCCCACAGCAGAGCTTGCGCTTGCCAAAGTCCCAGACGACATCCCCTCTTTCTTGTGACCAGGGCTCCCTCTGCCTCCTGGATCTCTCTGCCAAGTTTGACACAGTCGACCACGCCACCTCCTCCACCGACTCTCCTCCCTCATCTGCCTTAGTGAGATTGCACTTGCATGGTTTGAGTCCTGCTTAACCAAACGCCTTCACTTCATCTCGGCAAATGTTTTTTCTTCCCGCCCCTACCAGGTCACCTGTGGGGCTCCATCCTTGACCCTCTTCTTTCCTTTTCTATATGCTCCCTCTGGGCGATGTCATCTGCAGACACGAGGTAAACTTCCACATGTATGCTGATGACACACAAATCTACCTTACCTCCTCCAGTACCAACTCCAGGTCTGCTATGTTCTATTAGCTTGTCTGACAGACATCAGGTCCTGGATGAGTGTAAACTTCCTACAGCTGAATGTGGACAAGACCAAAGCCATACTTCCTGGCTCCCGTCAACGTCTTCACTCCTGAGGATCTAAACTCCTCAACGTTCCTGGGCTCTCCCTCAGACTCACTGAATCTAGGTGTCCGGTTTGACCCGCAGCTGTTCTTCCTTCCCCACATCCGGTTGCTGACCAGGACCATTTTCCTCCACCTCCACCACATTGGCCGCCTCTGACCGTACCTTACCCCAAATGCAGCCGAAACCCTTGTTCATGGGTTTGCCACCTCCTGCCTGGATTACTGCACTCCTCACCGTTCTCCCCAGCTCCACTATTCAAAAAATCCAGCTCATTCAGAACTTTGCTGCCCACATACTTACCTAGACCAAACTCCGTACCCACATCTCACCAGTTCTTGCCATCACTGGCTCCCCATCACCGAACGGATCAACTTCAAGATCCTCACACTCATTTTTCTTCAGTCCCTGGCCCCTCCCTATCTCTCCAACCTCCTCTCTCCCCAATCCACCACCTGGTGCCTCCACTAGACTGGCACGGACCTCCTGCTTGTCCCTCACTCCACCATTGGAGGTTGCACATTCAGCTACAACACTCCAAAACTCTGAAACACTCTCCCTCAATCCCTCTGCCTTACTCCCTCTCTCCCCTTTTTCAAGTCCCGTCTGAAAACCTTCCTTTTCGACCATGCTTATGGTCACCTTCCCCCCCAGCTCAGAGTCAGGCTCCGCCACTGTTAAGCACTACTCGCAGAGTAGCACTGTGCGCCTGAAATGGAAGTCCTTGAACTTCCCATTTTAAGTGCAGGTTCTGCAGCCCTGCTTTGGAGACCAGTGCAGATAAGTATCAACATGGGTAGTTGGTATGCAAATACCCAGCATTCTACTGTGATCTTGTGTTGTTAATTATATGAAGGCATGAAGGAAAGCAGGCAAATATCAGAGAAGAAATGGGTAGAAAATAAAGATTACAATTGTGATTAGTTTCAAAAGAAAATGGATTGAGAAGAAAGGCAGTGAAGACAATGTGTTAAATTCACTTCAAGTGGTATTGATTAAGATTAAGGTGAGGAGAGTTTAAAGAGGAATATTTCTGCATAATGTATCTGGTGCTTACTAAATATGTAAAAGTTTTTGACATGTGGAGGGTACTTCACTATTCTGTTTTGATTTCTCATTCCCAATCATTTCAGAGAACAGCTGCTTTGAATTATGTGCAACTTACACTGCAGTCACCAGAGTCCTGAAAATTCTCAAGATCTTCGTCTTTATTTGGTTGCCTTGAAATTTTAAGAATTTTCAGAATTCTGGAAAACTGTTAATTTACTTTTACTTTTGGAAGCTGCTTTTCAACAGCTTTTCTTTTAAAATGATAACTAACTTCCAATTTAAGACTGAAGTTAGAATATTACAACATTCTGCACAATCTTAGATTTAATAATAATTAATAATTTAGTCACTCAATTCATGACTGTTTGTGGGACACTGCTGTGCATAATTGACTGCTGAGTTTCGCCCACAAAATACACAATCCATTCACTTTACAGTATATTCTGTGAAGCTCTTTGAGATGTCTAGAAGACATGATAAGGTATTATATCAAACGCAAGAATTATTATTTAGGATAGACATGCAATTTAAGATCATCATGAATTCTTGGCCTCAGTTTCTTACAAAACCTTTGTTACTTCCTTAAGCAACAGCAGGAGTTGCTTGCACTGAAGCACCAGCAAGAAATCTTGGAACAACAGCGTAAACTGGAACAGCATCGCCAGGAGCAAGAGATGGAGAAACAACATCGAGAACAAAAGCTGTTGCTGCTAAAGAATAAAGAGAAAGGAAAAGAAAGTAAGAAATAGAAGCATGATGCTGCACTACAAATGCCAGATTGGTAGGGGGAACTACAGGGGGAGGGTAGCAACCCATAATTATCATTACTTTTGTGATCTGTAATCTGTAGTAATCTTTAAGGTTTGATTTGTCTCATCAGGTAAATTATATTTTCAATACTGCATAACTGCGTAGATTCCAATCCAGTTCAGAGGCTGTAAGCCATAAAAAAAACTATATTGTACTACAAAAAGATAGTCATTATATACTCTGCAGTGAATCTTTTAAGGGCTTTATCAAAAGCAAGGATCGTTATTAGAATGTTGTTGTACTCTGTGATGTTTTGCAACTATTCATCTTTGCAGTTTATTTCAACAATCAGAGTTGGCTTCTGATGATGTGAACTATTATTTTAAATGGTTCGGGTACCTCCACTGCTCCTGCGCTGACCACGTCATTGTGCTATCCATTTCCTTATCAGGCTCCCAGCTGAGAAAACTGTTCTAAGTGGATATATTGTGCTAGGACAGAAAAAGTTAGTAACAAATGAGACTGATCATCATTTTTATAAGGGGATATCTAACATTATTATTATATCTTTATTATTATATCTTTATTAAAATCTGAGATCTTTTTACATTTTATTACACAATCTATTTTAGCATTCCAGCAAAATTGGTTTTATTTTACCAAGTAAACATTCTACAAGAGAAAGTTTGGCCAAATCCTATATGTTTAAGGCTTTGTTTGAAATGGAATGTTGAATTATTAAACTGAATGCAGGAGATGATCCTTTTCCCAGTGTGGTACTACAGGTCTGTAACTAAATCAAATAGACAAATTCGTGTGGGCGTATTCAAAGAATGCTATGAGTCAAGAAATGTTCTATAGTTTTGCACATTTCTTCTTCTTTCTATTAATAATCAGCAATAAAATTTCACCGTGCGGATCCGAACTCCTCATCCTCCCCAGGCTCTCCCTCAGACTCACTGAATCAATGTGCAATCTAGGCGTCCGGTTTGACTCCCAGCTGTCCTTCCTCCCCCACATCTGGTCCCTGACCAGGACCACTTTCTTCCACCTCCGCTACATTGGCCAACTCCGACCATACCTTACCCCAAATGCAGCCAAAACCCTTGTGCATGTGTTTGTCACTGCCCACTTGGATTACTCCAACGCACTCCTCACTGGTCTCCTGAGCTCCACCACTCACAAGATCCAGCTCATTCAGAACTCTGCCGCCCACATACTGACCCGGACCGACTGGCATCAGCCTCCTGCTCGTCCCTCACATCCTCTGCCCCACCAACGGAGGTCGTGCTTTCAGCCACTACACCCAAAAATCTGGAACACTCACTCAAACCCTCCGCCTTGCCCCCTCTCTCCCCTCTTTCAAGTCCCGCCTGAAAACTTTCCTCTTTGACCGTGCTTACGGCCACCTACCCCTGACTCAGAGTCAGGCTCCGTCATTGTTAAGCACTCTGAGACGCTACCCTGCATGGAGGCTGCTATATAAGTGCAAGTTGTTGTTGTATAAAATTCAACAGAAAATGTCTTTTGCAGAAAGAGGAAAGGTTAGAGCTGTGCATTTTGAAGCTAAAAAGTTGTGTGTTGATGCCCCTGTGGAAGGTTTCCGTTAGCTGTAATTTATTGAGCCAATATACACATTAATCAAAGTATCAATAAGGCAGTCCTGAGACTGTTTAGTACTGATAGTCAATGTACAGATTAGAACAGCTTTCCACGTTCCAGCATTGATGAGCCTTTATTGGTGTTGGTCTTATCTTATCGGATTGGTCTTTAAATCTCAACTAAAATCCTACCACTTCAACCCTGCTCGCTGTCATCTCTCCCTCAACAAGATACAACAACAAGATTCCATTTATAAAGCGCCTTTCACGTCAGGAGGACGTCCCAAGGCGCTGCACAGTTGGGTCATGACCCGAGCAGGGGGGAAATGGTCAGGGTGAGGGGAGGGAAGGGAGGGAGCGAGGAGGGGGGAAATGGTCAGGGTGAGGGGAGGGAAGGGAGGGAGCGAGGAGGGGGAAGAGAGTCGAGAGGGGAGCTGAAGGCTCGGTCAAAGAGAAAGGTTTTGAGACCGGCCTTGAAGGAGGAAAGGGAGGAAGCAAGGCGAAGGCACTGGGGGATGGAGTTCCAGAGCCTGGGGCTGAGAGGCTGAAGGCCCGACCACCGATGGTAGGGCGGTTGGGGCGGGGGACGTGGAGCAGACCGGAGCCAGAGGAACGGAGGGTACGGGCAGGTAGGTAGGGGGATAGTAGGTTGGAGAGGTAGGAGGGAGCAAGGCCGTGAATGGCCTTGTAGGTGAGGATGAGGATCTTGAAATCAATCCTCTGGGGGATGGGGAGCCAGTGGAGGCGAGCGAGGGTGGGAGTGATGTGGTCCCGAAGCCTGGTGCGGGACAGTACACGAGCTGCAGAGTTCTGAATGACCTGCAGCTTGTGGAGGGAGGTGGCCGGCGAGGAGAGAGTTCCCATAGTCCAGCCTTGAGGTGACAAAGGCGTGAACCAGGGTTTCAGCAGCGTGAGGGGTGAGGTAGTGCCGTAGTCTGGCGATGTTCCGGAGGTGATGGAAGGCGGTGCCAGTTGTGGTGCGGATGTGAGGGAGAAAGGACAGCTCAGGGTCGAACAAAACGCCGAGGTTCCTGACTGGCTTTGAGAGGTGGAGAGTGCAGCCTTGGATGCTGATGGTGTCAGCGCCTGAGGTGCGGAGGCGCTGACGTGAGCCAATCAGGAGGGCCTCGGTTTTTCGCACGTTGAGCTGAAGAAAGTTGTCTCTCGTCCAGGACTCGATGTCGGACAGGCAGGCTGTCAGGACATCGGTGGTCGTGGAGTTGAGAGTAGAGGAGGAAAGGTAGAGTTGGGTGTCATCCGCATACATGTGGAAGTTAACTCCATGTCTGCGGATGATGTCACCGAGGGGGAGCATATAGAGGGTGAAGAGGAGGGGACCGAGGACAGAGCCCTGAGGGACACCACATGAGACAGTGCGGGGGGTGGAGGAGAAGCCATTCGTCGAGACAAAGTGAAGACGGTGAGAAAGGTACGACCTAAACCATTCAAGGACAGTGCCTTGAAGGTTGAGGTGGGAGGACAAGCGGTGGAGTAGGATAGCGTGGTCGACCGTATCGAATGCTGCCGATAGGTCGAGGAGGACGAGGAGACAGAGGGAGCCCTGGTCACAGATGGTCAGGATATCATTGGTGACCTTGACCAGGGCAGTTTCTGTGCTATGGGCAGCACGGAAACCTGACTGAAGGGGTTCGAAAAGAGAATGGGTGGAAAGGAAAGAGCGCAGTTGGGAGGCGACAACTCTTTCCAAGACCTTGGAGAGAAAGGGGAGGTTGGAGATGGGCCGGTAGCTTGATAGCTGCGACGCATCAAGGGAGGGTTTTTTCAGGGTGGGCGTGATGATGGCAGTTTTTAATGGAATGGGGACAGAGCCAGAGGAGAGGGACAGGTTGATGATGTCAGTGATATGTGGGGCAAGAAAGTGGAGCTGGGAGATAAGGAGTGGAGTGGGGATGGGGTCAAGGGAGCAGGTGGTTGGTTTTAGGGATAGGATGAGTTCAGTGACAGAGGGTGGGGAAACGGGTACGAAGGTGTGTAGGGGAGGATGGGTAGGAGTCGGAGTGTGGGAGGGAAGGGGTGGGTGGTGGGTGGAAGTTGGAGGGGAAGTGACCGCGGAGCGGATTCCCTTGATCTTGGATTCAAGGAAATCCAGCATCTCCTCGCAGTGAAGGTTGGAGGAGATGACCTGCGCGGGGTGGCGGGGGGGACGGAGGAGTCGGGTTGTGGTGGAAAACAGTAGCCTGGGGTTGTTCTTCGCCTCCAGGATTATCCTGGAGTAGAAGGACGACTTGGCCGAGGCTAGAGTGGAGCGGTAAATTTTGAGGAGGTCCAGCCAGATTTGTCGGTGGACCGTTAGGCCAGATTTGACACAGGTGCGTTCAGCAGCCCGCACCTGGCTTTTCAGTGAGCGGAGGTGGGTGGTGTACCAGGGGGAGGAGCGGGAGTAGGAGACAGTGCGGGAAGTGATGGGGGCAAGAGTATCGAGTGTGGAGGAGAGGGTATTGTGGAGGAGGGAGAGAGGAGAAGAGGGGTCGGTGAGGGTTGAAGGCCAGAGGGAGAGGAGTTCAGAGGACTCCAAGGCATCGGTTAGGGATTGTGGGGGTAACTTCTTCCAAGGGCGGTAGAAGATGGTGGTGGGTCTGGTGGAGGTGGGGAGGGGGGTGGAGGTGGTGAAGGAGATGAAGTAGTGGTCAGAGATGGCCTTGTCGGTAATAGTGACATCCGAGACACTGAGGCCCCGGGTGATCACCAAATCGAGTGGGTGGCCGTGACTGTGAGTGGGGGAGTTTATGTGTAAGGAGAGGTTGAGTGAGGAGAGCAGGGAAGAGAAGTCTGTGGAGATGGAGCAGGAGGGGGTGAAGTGTAGGTTAAAGTCGCCCAGGATGATGAGGCGATCGGAGCAGAGGCAAAGAGATGTGAGGAGTGTTGAAATGTCAGAGATGAAGGTGGGAGAGGTTTTAGGGGGCCGGTAGAGGAGGAGGATTTTAAGGGAGAGGAATGAGGGGTGGGAGAGGGTGAGGTGCTCAAAGGAGGGGAAAGAGCCAGTGGAGTAGGGGGATAGGGCAAGTGGTGTCCTTGAGATAAGGGCAACACCACCGCCACGGCGGTTGGGGCGGGGGATGTGGTGGGAGGTGTAGCCGGGTGGCGTGGCCTCCGTGAGGGGGAAGGTGTCGCCTGGTGTGAGCCAGGTTTCTGTTAAGGCCATGATATCAACGTTCTCATCAATAATAATAATAATAATAATAATCCTTGCATTTGATATAGCGCTTTTCACGTCAGGAGGACGTCCCAAAGCGCTTCACAGAACACACTGTAAAGTGAATTGACTGTATATTTGTGGGCGAACGCGGCAGCCAATTGCGCACAGCAATGTCCCACAAACAGTCGTAGATTGAAAATGACCAATTTAATTATTGTTTTTGGTTTTTT